ATTATATCCAAGCAACATCTCATTCTGTCAGTGGTGAGCACATGCTTTAAGGACATGTCCAGACCTATTTTTGGCATGCAAGAAAAGTTATAACTGCTATGTAAACCAAAATACCTTCACACCACTGCTGTGCTTATTCAACTTAAAACCTCTGTTTGCCTTTGGTGTGATAATTGATTCAGAAGTAGAGCCATTCGCCTATTAGTACATGACAACAAAGCTGGGATTTTGCCTGTGGTCTACAGAAATTGATAGGTGTTGTTGGGGGTCTTGGTTACCGCAGTAAATTTCTGTGCCAGTTACAGTGATATATAGACAGGTGCATGCTTCTGTATCCATGTAAAGCAGATCAGCAGAATGGAAGTACAGTACAAAACAGGACTGTGACCTCATCTTCTATCACATACTTGGGGGTCAATAACTAGTCGCGTTAACCCTGTCAGCACAGAGTTCTTCAATATAAAACTTTGTGAAACTGCAAATGCCAGCTGGCGCATTGCTTGGGTACATCAGGATATGTATGGATATCTGTATTTTTGGTTCAATGTATAAGGATATAACTATTACTTTCGGAGTTCTGAGCCCTTTATAATTGCTCACAGCCTGCAGTCTCCAGAATTAATATAGCTGCTGCACTTCTCAGCACATCCTTGTAATTTAAAGCAGGGGGTACATGATCCCATATATTTTTAATGAAGGCAAACCATTTATTTATATTTATAGGGCCTTTGTAAATGTTTAGTAATATAAGGGGAAAAGTTCACTTTCTCAATCCAGTTGCTGCTCCTCTCCAATGATACAAAACTCAATTCAGGCTATGCACAAGCAAAGTCATCCAAAGTTTAAAAGAGAACTATGGGGTAAGTGTTTTTCTCCATAGTTCTTGTTAGGGACACGGCAGGACATATACTAACCTCCTTCTGTGATCCAAAGCTCAGTATATCGCGAGCTATTACTCACAATATACTGAGAGTGCCGCAACTGGGACGGATACCGACAATACTGTTGAGATTCACCTAGCTGCGTGAGTGACAGCTGTCACCGCCCCCCCGTTTGGTCCTCCACACAGCGCTGGAGGATCAGAGAAGGGAATCCCTTCGCGGAGCGGTGTCTGACAGTCACTGCTCGCTGCAGGGAGACGATCGGGAAGTGAGCAGATCAGTGAATGTTTCTGCTCACTTCCCGATCGATAGAGCCGACCTGTGACAGCTTCTTTGTCACAGTTTGGCTCTAACTATGAGGATGAGTGGAAATCATGGTTCTCCTTTAAGGAAAAGCTCAGCCGTTGGTGGCATGTCTTTATGCACTTCCTGGGATATATAGGATATATTAATAGTAGGGATGCACCAATACATCGGCCGCCGAAACATATCGGCCGAAAATGGCACTTTTGGCATGATGTTGACGAAAGTGCCATTTTCTGCCCGATACAGTGGTGTATCCATTCTTTCTCCCCTCCTTGCTGGGCGGGGAGGAGAGAAACTGTCACAGGCAGCCGAGCTCTGCGGGAGGAGAGTGCTGTGAGCAGACGGCGTCTCTCATCCCACACCGCTCAGCCTCCTGTCACAGATCGGCAGAGCAGTGTGTGGGCGGAGACAGCCAGCTCTGTCACAGGAGGCTGAGATCTCCTCCACGCACCGCTCCCTCAGCCTCCTGTGACAGCGTATCAGGATGGAGAGCGAGGTACAAAACATTCAGTGATCACTGAGTGTTTGTAAATAATTGAGGACTATATCCTCAATTATGAATGAATAGGAAGTGATCTACATCTCCTCCTGTTCATTCATGATTGTGGTTATAGCAAACATACTCTGTTATCATGTTATGAATGAACAGGAACACTCAGAGGATTCCTGTTCATTGATAACAGGGGACACAGAAAAAGAGATTGAGGACTGTGTCCTCAATCTCTTTTTCTATTTTAAAAGGGAAATATCAGGGGTCTGTTTAGACCCCTAATATCTCCCTGAAGACCCTAAAAGTAAAGTCCAATTTTTTTTAATTTAACCACCTCAGGGCCGGCCGTTGTAAAAAAACGGCCGGCCGAGAGGTCTCTAGATCTGAGCGGGAGTCTTTAGACGTCCGCTCAGCCACGCCCACCTGCGGGAAACACCGGCGAAAAACAGGCACCGATGCCTGTTAACATACAAGCGATCCGCCGGCTATAGAGCCAGTGGATCGCTTGTATGAGCTGCCAGCCATGTCCCCCCCTCCCTACGCGCCCCCCCCCCCGTTGTCACGCCGGTCCGGGGCTCCGCTGTGCCCGGTGCGAGCGCGGGACCAGCATACGGCCTCTGTCACGGAATCAGAGGAACCTCGGTATACAAGCTCCCTCCATTCCCCTCTCCGCTGCAAGAATGCGGAAGTGTTGTATATTACATTACTTCCGCATTCTTGTGTCACTCTCCAGCTTCAGACGCTGGAGAGAAGCTGATGAAGCAGATCTCTGCTTCATCAGCTTCTTCAGGGGGGTCCTAAGTCCTAGGTGACATTAGGGGTCTTGGAGACCCATGATTTTTCCATAAAGAGGACCTGCCACTTCCTTTGCTATCACATAGAGGGGTTTCTTAGCCCCTTAGGTGATAGCAATAAAGTTAAGGGGGGAAAAAAAACAAATAGGGAAAAAAATTAAAGTTTCCAAAATAAAATTAAAGTCACACATAAAAAAGAATAAATTGTTTTTGTTTTTTTTTAAAAAGCCCCCACCCATACATACACGCATGCAAACATGCGTCAGGTGCGCATACCTGCAAAAACGATGATTGCGCCCATTACACCGCACATGTTACATATCGCAGTGAACGTCGCAGTGAGAGCGATTAATTTTAGGGCCAATCACTGATAACACTAAACTGATGAGCGGTAAAAGCTTTAATTTTTGGTATTGTAGTTTTTTGAGATTTCGAGGGTGCGCGCAATTTTTAAGCATGACATGTTTGGTGTCTATTTACCCAATGTGACCCTGTCTTTTATATTTTACGAAAAAATTGGGTAATAATAATTGTTTCCTAACATAATGTAAAAAACACTTTTTTTTTTTCAAAATTTTCAGTAAATTTTCTGAAATATAGAAAACAATTAAAACCCCAGTGGTGAATAAATACCACCAAAAGAAAGCTCTATCTGTCCCCAAAAGGACCGCAGCGCTGAATACTGAAAAATGGCCTGGCCAGGAAGGGGGTCTAAACACCTGGTCTTGAAGTGGTTAATAAAAAATGAGTAAATAAATAAAAATAAATATGAAAAAATAAAAACATTTATAAAAAATAAATAACAATAAAAAAATAAAAT